CCAGTGATGGTATGAAAGGTTTCAATTTTCGTTGTCATAAACCCGGGCACATTGGTAAATTTTGCCCAGTTTTCCCTGACATGCCAACCACGACGAATGGCAAAACAGAGACCATCTTTGTAAATACTCAATGCAGTGTGTTTGCTTGTCAAGAACATGATTGTGGCCGAAATGTGTGGCTTAAAGACGATGGAGCTACAGTACACATTACAAATTCAGCCAAGTATTTAAAGGCGTATCGTCACTTTAATAGACAAGTAGAAATCACAGTCGGTAACAAACAGACAATACCAGCATATGGCTGTAGGGACATTGACGGAAAAGTACAAAAGTGCACGACGGAAAAGTACAAAAGCTGAGCTGAGCTCACTGATGTACTGTACACACCAGAAATTGGCAAGAATTTGTTGTCGGCTTCGAAAGCAATGAAGCTAGGAATCTTGAACTTTGGTGATTCAGGCAATATGATTTGTCGTTTCTTTCACAAGGAGACCCAGATAATATACTTTTAGAGGCCCCATGTTCATCAAATAGATTCTTTGAACTATGTGCAAAACCAGTCAAGTCACAAGGGGGTTCTGCTGCTGCAGCTTACTTGGTTGACAACAAAATGACTACTCCTTTTCCTGGGACAGCAATGAAGATGATGACAAAATTGCCATTATCACTTTAACATTGATGACTTGGGCATGAAGGAATACAGTACGTGAAACGGTACCTGCACCAAAATGGTATAGATTTTATCGACGATGGACTATTTTGTGAACCATGTGCATATGGTAAACAAAGTCAACGAACATTTAAGCTAAAACGATTCAAAACACAAAAGTCTGGTGAAATAATGCATGCAGACTTACTTATTGTGTAAACAATAAGACATATGTAAGTTCTCTTTACCTTTTTTGTTATTCTCAAATTCATTTAGTTAAATTAAGTCTCAAATTCATTTAGCCATCATTCCGTTTTGTTAATATTATAATAGATTGAAGTAGAAATATTAATAGATCAAAAGAATCTTTAAGCAATTTATTTGTCTTTTGTAGAATGAGTATGAAAATTAGCATATTTAAGTGATATATTTTCATATTTCAGTGTTTTAAGTTTGAAGTTTATGAGGAACTGAAATAAATGTGTTTCATTTATTTAATAAAAAAATTTAGTTGGATAAAATAAATAATAATAATAATGATGATATATTTAATTATTGTTTTGATTTTGTTAATTTGCAGCAAGATTTAAATTTATCAAAAATTAAGTATAATTATTGGACAACACTTACTAATTATTGGACAACACTTACAATCTAAGTAATGCTTTCGAAAGATATTTCCTGTCCTAAAAAACCATATTTAAAAGGAATTTGTGGATAACAAACCCATTCGAAACTCATAATAGGAGTAAATTAAAGTAATAAGGACTATGAGTTTCTCCTTGAGGTTAGTTTAAATCAGGGATGTCAAACTCATAGGTACACTTGGGCCAAACAAACAAGGTTTAACTTTAGGTGGGCCGCAAAAACAAAAAAAAAAAAAAAAAAAAAAAAAAAAAAAAAAAAAACAATACTCATAGAAACGTAGATTTATTTCAAATAATACGATAATAAACATACTATATATATATTTATATAGAAAAGAACAAGAAAAATTTAATGTTTATGTCCTGATACTTGACATCTCTTCTCTGCTATTATCTTTCCTATTTCGGGAGAAATTTTGTTTGCAGTGATAACTTTCAACGCTGACCCAAGGAGAGCATCATTAATACGGTTTCTATCACAGCATTAAGTAAACAAACAGTTCGCTAGAACTATAGCTACTACTGAGATGAGTTGTTTGTTCTCGGTTTTATAAGCTTTATAATTAATTTCTCGAATATACTGGAAACATCTATAAATATCTGGATTTTTGTGGATGGCAACAGCAATTACGAGATATTTATTTATTAGGTATTAAATGCACGCGCTGTTCTATTTTTAACCTTCCAACGCAGCTGTCTTTTCAAAAATTGTCTGCGTTGCTAAGGCAACATGAAGCAAATCTAATTACAATTCTAAATAAAAAAAAAAAAAATAAATAAATAAAAATAAATAACTATGAAATCCGTAACAATATGAATTAAGTAATAATTAATAATAGAGCAAAGTGCATGCACATGCATGCACCAATATATCGTACAAAACTATGATTGGAAAACTGAGACCATGAGTTCGGCCACATTCGGCTATCGGGGGATGCGTACAAGTTCTGAGTGCACGTGTCCCCCAAAAGCCGAAGGTAGCTGAATGCAAGCTACTCACACGCATTTGTAATTTAAGTAGTGTGTGTGTGTCAGCTCGCTCTGAGTAATCTAACAACACTGAATAAATTATCGTTAATTACTTAGCAGTAAACATTTCATTTTTTTCTTCGTCAATATGTTATTTTATTATTATATATTATTATTTGCCGATATATTGGCCGGGCCGCAAAAATATTTGTTGTGGGCCGCGAGTTTGACATCCTTCGTTTAAATATTATGTTGAAAATTAGTTTTTCAACATTGTCTATAGATAAAATTTGGATCAAAATGAAAATGAGGGATTATCTCTATATGAAAAAGCAATGGAAATGTTAGTCCCCTTCATAACAACATATTTATGTGAAGGAGGATTTTCATTTATGATGGTAATTAAAATTAATTTAGAAACTGGCTTTTGGTTCTTTCACGGCTTTGACATAGCTTGACTAACTGATAGAACCCATAATTAAAAAGCTAATTGAAGGAAAGCAGCAGCAATCTCCTTATTAACATTATATGCCAAATAAACGTAAATTGTAAGTATTTAATTCTGTAGTAATCAGAGGACTGATTTTGGGTGTTGTGTGTTTTTTAGTATGCAGTGATTTTGTAATTATTTTTATACTTTTCTGCGATATTTCTTAAATGTTTATTTACTTATAATAAAATAATTATAATAATTTCTTATCTTTGCATTTAAATATTATTGTAGGTAAATAATAATAAAAATGTTACAATTAACTTATGTAGTAGTTCTTTAATACCTAGTAAAGTTTCTTTGTTTAAAAAAAATAATTAAAAAAAAAAAGTCCGTGAAATTTTTTCACAAATTTGACCAGTCCACAGGCCTAAAAAGAATTGAGAAATACTGCTACAGCTGATCTGTGTAATATAAGAAACTAGAAATATCTTTTATTGATGACTGTGATAATGCAAATGTTTATAAAGTTTGTGAATTAGATGTATTATTGAAAAAATAAAATGAACATTAATAAGGATACATATAATTATCTTAAATGCTTAATTTGTTATGATGCATGAAGCATAAATTTAAGATTGTATGGTGCTTGGAATATCTATATATCTCAGTATTGACAGTTTTTGAAACCACAAGACTGATTGTTATTTTGATTCTGCATACTATTCTCATTACCCATAAACATGATACTACAGTGTTTCTTGTATTATTTTGATTATTTAAAAATGTTATATAACAATTACATTGCAATGTAATTACTGGTATTCCAAAGTAAAATTTTTAAAAATGTTAAGTGTAAATTAAGATTTTCAAGCAGCTTTTATTATTGGCTGGTTTGTTAATTTTCTAGATATTATTAAATATTTGCTTTTTCATTATTGTCAGTCTAGAAACACTTTTATGCAGTACAATAATCATGTCAAAAGAAGTAGGAAAATCCTTTTGCCTTAAAAGAAGGTAATCATAGACTTCTATAAATCAAATACCAGCTCTGTTCAAAAGTGACAACAGAAATAAAGACAAAGGAAGTTGTTTAATTTCACATAACTATAAATTTAAAAAGAAGTATTATGAGTAAGTCAGGTGATAAAACTAACTAAAATTCAAAAACATGTTTGGTACATTATTTCCTTTACCAATGTTGGTAATTATAGTTTTTATTAGAATAATATTTGACCATTTCTATATGCCTAAGCATGTAGCCATTCTGAAAATTATTCAAAATACTAGGAATAATCTCTGTAATTCATTTTTAAAATTATCTCAAGATATTCTAACAAAATTATGGGGAGGAATACCAGTAAAGTTTATGTATCATTTCAAATAAACAGCATTTAAAACATAGTTTTTCAAAAAAAATTTGTGTTTGTATTTTATAATTTAATTTGATTGCTAAACGTAAAATTTTATTTGTATTGTAATCATTATTTCTGTTTTGCAATTGGAATTCTAAAGTATCATTATTATTGCATTAATTATGATGAGGTGAGGAGGTAATTATATGATTACATATGCAAATTTCAATTAAATAGAGTTTTTTTTAACAAATCATTTTTTAGAGATTAGTTTAAATACAAAAAAAAAAAAAAAATCATATATTAGTTATACAATAATAAGTACGTGTGATAAATTGAAGCTGGTTTATTGTGTTGATAGAATGATGACTTACTAGCGCAAATTGGGTATGGCATTATACATAGAAGATGCATGCATAAAAAAGCAGACTTGCAGACAGGCCAAATTTAAATACTATTTCTTTACTTGTAATTAAACATTATGTGGCTGCAAATAACTTGGCACACTAATCATGCCCATTCCAGAAGATAACTACATTTTTCAGATTGTTGCAATAAGAAGAAAACTGTGCAGCAGCAGCAGTCTAGCTTAGGTAGGCACAAAATCAAAGTGTGTTGTATTCAGGACGAAATTTTCAGAATGGATTAGTTTCTGTTTCAATACATTTTGACTGAATAATTAATGAAGCTCTAAACTTATTATTTCATTTCTTATTATTGGGTGTTTGAATTTTATTCCATTTAAGCATTATGTAAAAGTCATATGATATGAATTAATCTAGAAATGTTTAACTCCAGAAAAGTTTATTATAAGCAATTACTACTTTTAGAATAAAGAGGGAAAATACCCAAATTAAAAATGAAGAATTAAGAGTTTATTGTTAATTTAAATTATAATTTGATTTGACTTAAATGTTTAAATATTAATAAATTCTTTCAATTTTCTATAGAATCTTAATGAAACCCTAAGTACTGCAAAAAAACGACCCTTACAAAATCATGGTGCACATTTTTCTCATCGAACTATGCACAAAGAAGTTACATCAACACCACTGAAAGATGTTATTACTCTTGAAGTGAAGGTATTTTGCTGTCATGTTCATTTTTTTAATACAATAAGTTATTTAGTTTAATTAAATTACTATAACAAAACTCAATACATTAATCATAATACTAGAATATTTTAACATTATTATAGAATATTTTAACATTATTATAGAATATTACTAGAATATTATTCATATCACTTTGACAGTAGCTGGGGTTTTCATTTGCCTTTTTATGAATTTTCCTAACTTTAATAATTAAAGGTGATTTGTAATCAGTTTACTTGGGCACAAAATAGAAAATTTTATTGCATATCAAAGATCTATAAGCCTACATAAAAATAAAGGACATAACATGACAGTATTTTTTTTCCTCGTCCGGAAAGTGAGGGAAACATTTGCGTGATTTTATGATTTACTTTGAGGTGTTTCTCTTCTCTTTTAATTTTTGCTACCAATTGCCATTTTCAAGAACATTCTTTCAGTTTGGATTGTTTGCCCACATGTGGCAATTTGCTTTCTGTTTCTCCATTTCATATAGTTCAGAAGCTAATGAGATTCTCTCTCTTTTTTTTTTTTATTATTATTATTTCTTTGTTAATTTTTTTGTTGCATCAATAGTGTTTTTCGTTTTGCAGTGTATTGCTTTCTTTAGATTTTTCAGTTTAACATTTTTCTTTATATTATTTCAACCATTTTGCACTTTCACTATTATAAATATTTTAGTGTTCTCTACATTTTCATGTTTGTTTCTCTTTCAGAGTATATCAAGAGACAGGAATTGATATTCCATATGCTTAAGGCGTGACTTAAGCATATGGAATATCAATTCCTTAAGCATTAAGTCACGTCTTAAGCATATGAAATTTTTGAAGCATTTTCATTTGTTTGATTAATTTCAAACATCAGAATATCATTTCCAAATCTAAACTAGTTAAATGTAATCTTCTATTCACATTTCGAAAATTATGCATAAATTCAAACTGTCATTTCTTCATCGCATTATAAGAAACACGCGTTTGTCTAAAATTGAAAAACCTTTTTCTAAAATTGAATATGAATTATATTACCTTCATTTAAAAACTACCTATATTGCTTTAAATGTTTCTTCGTTCGATCATAAATCTTGGCCCAGAACTGATACCACTTGTCCGTCAGTTGTCTAGTCTTACCCATCTTATAAATCTTGCCACTGTAATACTAATTCCATTGTTAATATCGCTAATGTTAATCTTTTGGAGGATCATATGAAAGTATTGACATATAATTTCAACTTTTCAAAGATATCTAATTCTTCACTTCCACTCTTATTGAAAAAAACTTTTAAATCCTCTAAAAATTTCAGAAGCACAAGAAGACACAATCCACCAATTAATTATTCATAACATGAATTCTAATAATAATGTTTCAAATCCTAACCAAAAGGAAAGAAAGGCCTTACACGAAATTCATTTTGATCCTAACATTATTTTCAAAGCTGATAAGGATGGACAGATCTTTGTTATGGGCAAACACTGACAGAGTAACAAAACTGATAAATGAAAGTTCATAGTACTCGATCTCTAAAGCTCCTTTAACGTCTGACCTCATGAAAGTTAAAACAGCTGTTTAATATTTTCTTATACTCCTAACACAGTTTAAAAATAATTTATTCCACCTATTGGTAACTGTGCTAGGTTTTATGCTCACTCCAAAGTCTACGAAATTGGAATTTCTTTTCAACTTATAGTTTCTAACTTAGGAATGGTATACTATCCTTTGGCCAAATATTTAGTTTTTGTATTTTCTCCTTTACTTACTGAAATATTCACTCTGTAAACATTTCTTTTGGAGTTGCTGATAAACTGAAAAGTATTTTTCCCTTTTACTCCATTATGGTTTCTTTTGATCTTAAATCACTGTATACAGTACAAAGTCCGTAATCCGGATGTCCATTATCAGCAATGATCTATAATCCATACCTCAAAGCCACAAACTTACACTTGTGCGTAATGCGTTTATGCATGTGCGCATGTGTTTACCCATGCTCGCTTCCGATACTGAAGAAAGTGACAAAGAAATTATTGAAAATGAAAAAATTTCGATTGACAAGTTAGTCTGTATTCTCGACAGGGTAATTACAGGACTTGAACAGTGGAACTTTGTAACTGAACAAGAAATTATGTCTGTTTATATAATTAAAGAGAAAGTATTAGCACAAAAATCGAAGCATCTTAAACAACTTACATTGAAAGAAATGTTTAATGAAGTAAACAAATAAATATTAAGCTTTTTTTTGTAAATTTTGACACCCTTTAGATCTTAATTGCTCTTTATTTCATAAATTACAGTTTTTTTTTAATTGTGTTATTTCTGCATGCCATCTTACCAGATTTAAATTGATGATCTATAATCCGGAATCGCCGAAGTCCCGATGAGTCCGGATTACGGACTTTGTACTGTACTAATGTTCCAGTCAGAAAAGCACTAAAATATCATGAAACTATGCTTCAAAAATTCTGTTTCACACATATTAAAATTGAAGAGTTAATTTCGCTTACTAAAATCTCTTTGAGTCAAATCCACTGTGTTTTCCAAAACGAATATTGTTGCTAAATTAAAGGATTAGCTTATTGCTATTAATCCCCTCAATCATGTACTGGCTGACATTTACATGTGCTATTTTGAGTTAAAATTATTTAAGAAACTGTCTTTCTGTCTCTGGATTTGTTACATAGATAACACTTTTGTGGTATTTCAAGGTAATAAAAAGTATTTATCTCAGATTTTATTTGCTACAAATTCATTTGATCCAGCCAACCAGTTCATCTTTGAAACTGAATCTGACAAACACTTCCCTTTCTTGATATTCTTAGAATCTGTAATTGATCTTGCCCTCTAAGAAAACATTCTGCTATTAGAAATAATGTCAGTAACCTTCTTGTGCTTCTATTTCATCCTTTTAACACTTACAAAATTGCATGGTTTCTTCAGAAGTTAAATTTTCAAATCATTTTCTTGCCTGTTAATAAAATCTGTGATTTGATTCCTAAAGATTCCGTTTCTGATTTTAATTCTTAAGGAATTTATAACGTATCTTGCCAGAGTTGCTTTAGATATATCGATCAAATTAAAAGGACGTTAAAGTTTTGCATCAAGGATTATATTTGAAGAGGTGAAAGTGACAGGTCTACAAGAGCTAACCATAGTTGGAAATTTAATCATAATTCATCCATGTAGGGATTGTTGTTTGACTTACTAATAAAGACAGACCTTACGCCAAATCTTTCCCTTCTAGCTGTTAAACTTTATGCCAGTCTAATACAAGAGTAGTCTAATACAGTCAAAAGTCGTTAATTCGGACACCCATAATCCAGACCTCAAAGCTACAAACTTTCTGCGCAATTTCGCGTTGACGCATGCGCAGAAAGTAAGACCTTTACAGCTGCAAATATGTGTGTGCGCATGTGCAAAATACGTTTACACATGTGTGTTTAATGTATAACGGACGGTATAAGCTAAGCTAAAATTATCTAATTCAGTTAATGTTGCAGATTAATCTTCGAATCGAATCCGGCTTATTATTTTTTGCAGACTGTTAGAGCAACTTTATAAAAGTAAGCTTGAACTTTCAATTATGTCAAATAGAATTTCCGATATATATTTACTAATATGTAAAAGGATCTACAAAGCGAAAGTGGAATTGCTGCAAAAAATGGATAAAGGCATATCCTTTTTTTCTCTAACCATTCCAAAATCTGTTTATCAATTTCACGCTGCTTTGCGGTGTGGGGGGAGGGGGAAACGCTGCGGCGCGCAATGAATTGGAAGTTGATCTGTCAGCACTATCCTTATCTTCAAAGCAGATGTTTTCATTTTATTTGGCTTATAATTCCTTACTAAATGTAGTATTTCATCTCAATGTATTCCGTCTTTGATATGATTTAAATCAAATTCCTCGTCATTATAATTTGCTTCTGATAGCGAAGAAAGTGACATGGAGGTTATTGAAAATGAAAAAATTTCGATTGACAAATTAGTCGGTATTCTCGACACAGCAATTATAGGACTTGAACAGTGGAATTTGTAACTGAACAAGAAATTATGTCTTTTTGTAGAATTAAAGAGAAAGTATTATTACATAAAACAAAGCAACTTAAACAACTTGACAAATTAGTCGGTATTCTCGACACAGCAATTATAGGATTTGAACAGTGGAACTTTGTAACTGAACAAGAAATTATGTCTGTTTGTAGAATTAAAGAGAAAGTATTATTACATAAAACAAAGCAACTTAAACAACTGACATTGAAAGAAATGTTTAATAAAGTAAACAAATAAATATTAAGCTTTTTTTTGTGTGTAAATTTTGGTACTCTTTAGACCATAATTGTTCTTTATTTCATAAATTACGATTTCGTATTTTAAATTTTATATTTCTGCATGCCATCGTACCAGATTTAAACTGATGATCTATAAATTTTCCTTCTTAATTCTTGGATTATAAAATTAGTAAAGAAAAAGGGGAAAAGATGCAAGGAAATACAGTATATGTTATTTATAAAGTATAATTATAATTTGAATAATCCTAAATATTGGGGTCAAAATGACTGTGTGGTTGCTTTCGTGTATTGAAAGATTTGGCCAGTTTGGTATTAAAGTGGTATATGGAATTTTAGTGAAAATGTTCATTACAAAATAATTTACAGTTGAACTCTGCTATAACAAACTTCCAGGGACTGGAAGTTTGGTCCGTTACATGTGATGCAATAAGAAAAATAGATTAACAAAAACATGTAAAAATTTAATGATGACTCGCATACATGCACTGCCCACCCCTAAAATAATTAACATTGTTACATTTAACAAAAAAAGTGAATAATGAATCTAATTTAAAAAATCATAATAAGATTTAATTACAATTATTATTACATGCAGTTATTACATTTGTCGGTTGATCTTTTCAAGTTCCATCATGTTAATAATTTTACACAATAAATTATTTAGCATAAATATTACAATTCAGATTCTTTCAAATTATTCATTTGTAACTATTATTATTTTATCTAATAATATATATAAACACTGAAAATGAATAACAAAAAATATTGATGACTTTTAACTTAGCTATTGAGTAAAAAATAATCTGTTGTAAAGAATATCCTATGTCTAATAAAAGACCTAAAATGAATGCAAAACACTTATTCAAAGGACAGCATTTATACTCAAACAAAACAAATCTATAGAGATCAAAGTTTCATTCCCTAAAAGAGGAATTAACTGTATACCCCCCACTTATGACTGGCTATTTTCTCCTTTCCAGAATAGCAGAAATTTCAACATTGCTATCATACCATAAGACCTGAATGAATGAATTGAAAATGGAACATTAATTGATATTTTGTGTACTTTGTAACAATTCACTATGGCATACTAATTTAGATAATCAGTAAGTAAAGCAGTAATCGCATTTTTGATTTCTGCAAAATTCATGATTAATGAATTGCAAAACGAAAATTAATGAATTTCCCATCCAACAACAAAATACATTTTCTTCACATTTGAGATTAAATGCCCTAAGGTCATAATTTTTTAAGGCAAAAATATACAAAATTTAATTTTATTTACCTAAAATATTGCCTTTTATTTATTTATTTTCTGTTTTGTTTGTTTGTTACAATATGGCTGATATGCAGATGATGCATTTTCCCCTCTCTCATTCTGGTCCCCCCCTTTCCATACAGTTACACTTTTGCAGACAATTTTGAAGTAATTGTATTTTAATGCTACTCTATGTTCACAAATCTGAAATATGCTGTAACATCTGACAGTATACATTTGAACCATTTCATAAAATCATATGTTTAAAAAGAATGGAATTTATCCTTCTAGTTTATTTATATAAGAAGACAAACATAACTGGTAAATATGTAAAGATAGACATAAAAATATGGCTCTGGATTTATCCTCTACCTTCCAAATATTAATAAATTTTGCAAAAATGTTTTGAAACAGTAATAATTTTATATCTTCTTAATCATACTAATGTATTTTCATGATCACAAAACCTCATTAGAAAGGTTTGAAAATCTGCAGCACATTATGAAAATATTTGCATAGCTGTTTGCAAGTGGTTTATTATTATAAAAATATATAAAATTATCCTGAGAAGTTTTGGAATCGGATTATTATATTAATGCTAATAAATATTTTCTGTTTTATAGAATACTCCCAAAACAATGAAAATGGAAAAACGAACACCCTCAAAAAAATTTTCACCTCAGAATGTGCAAAAAACATTTACTTCTAAATCATTGCAAGATGTTACTACGATTGAAATTAAGGTATTTATTTTCTTTGTATTCCTATATTTTCCCATGCAGCAAATGAATTTAAAAATCTCATAATGAAAACATGCTCTTAAATGTCAAATACATTCAAGGTTTTGTGGTGTTTAAGGTTTTTCTGTATTTTGCAATTTTTAATGAAGATGTTTTGAGTTTTATGTATTTTTCCTGTGCTGCAAAGTGAGAATGGAATTGATTGAGTGAGAAATATGTTTCTAATGAAATTTGAGGATATAAATTTAACGGAAATGCTGAAAAAAATGTAATGGGTTGGCAATTGAGTAATTGCGGATTTCGCTCATAGATGGCTTCAGTTGAATTTTTAGGGTTGCAGACATAGTACAAATGTAAAACACATTTTGTTATTTAATAGTTGGCAATTCAGCTGTCAATCAGTAAAAAAAGTTTTTTGATCGATTGCGTAGTTTTTGTTTGGTGTTCGTTGAAAAATGAAATATCAAAAGGAACATTTTCGTCATATTTTGCTTTTTTATTTCCGCAAAGGGAAAAACGTATCACAAGCTCATAAAAAGTTATGTGCTGTTTATGGTGACGAAGCCTTAAAAAAACAGCAGTGTCAAAATTGGTTTGTCAAATTTTGTTCTGGTGATTTTTCACTCAAAGATGAAAAACGCTCTGGTCGTCCGGTTGAAGTTGATGACAACCTAATCAAAGCAATAATCGATTCAGGATCATCACAGTACAACACGTGAGATTGCAGAGAAGCTTCATGTATCACATACATGCATTGAAAATCACTTAAAACAACTTGGCTCTAGGTTCAAAAACTCGATACATGGGTTCCTCACGAACTGAAAAAAAACGCATTTAACGCAACGCATACGTAACAACAGCTGCGATTTGCTAAAGAAAATGATCCCTAAAGAAAGAACTAAAGAAACTTAATGAAAATGATCCATTTTTTAAAACTACTGATAACTGGCGATGAAAAATGGGTTGTTTACAACAATATCAAGCGAAAAATAACGTGGAGCAGGCCTGGTGAACCAACTCAAACAACATCAAAAGAAGGTTTTGTTATCAGTTTGGTGGGATTACAAAGGAATTGTCTACTTTGAACTCTTACCACCCAACCGAACAATCAATTCTGATGTCTACATTGAACAACTAACGAAATTAAACAATGCAGTTGAAGAAAAGCGGCCCGAATTGACAAATCGAAAAAGTGTTGTATTCCATCATGACAATGCAAGGCCACACACATCTTTGGTCACTCGGCAAAAATTATTGGAGCTTGGTTGGGATGTTTTGCCACATCCACCATATAGTCCTGACCTTGCACCATCTGATTACTTTTTGTTTCGATCTTTACAAAACTCCTTAAATGGTAAAAATTTCAATAATGATGACGATGTCAAATCGTACCTGATTCAGTTTTTTGCTAATAAAAGCCAGAAGTTTTATGAACGTGGGATTATGATGCTGCCTGAAAGATGGCAAAAGGTCATTGATCAAAATGGGCAATACATTACAGAATAAAGTTATTTAGTTCCATGAAAAAATTGTCTTTGATTTTCTAAAAAAAATCCACAATTACTTAGTTGCCAACCCAATATATAATTTAATAAGCTATACAAGGAAGACAACAGATATTTTTTATGTATATTTTAGCCGTATTTTTTTTCCTGCAATAAATTTCTTTGGTAATAAATATTTTTTCTCCTGTAGTAAGATCTTTCATATAAGTGAAGCTTCTTTTATCAAACTAGAATGAAAAAAGAAAGAACTAGACAAAGAAAAAACAAAGCAAAAAATATTATATAAATAAGGACATGTTTAAAACATTAGAATATTCTCAAAATCTAATATTTCAATGTATAGATTTAAAAACAATTAATCCATTTAAATTTTAAACTGTAAATAATGTAAGGAGCATTATTTTCTTCATAAGACTGTTTGAAAAGAAAAGTTCAATGAAATATCACATTAATTTATAAATAAAAATTCTAGCACAAGTTTTACTATATTTTTGAGGAAGGAATTATTTAATTATTTCACATTTTATTGTAAAAATAATAATGTATTTATTTTAAAATAAGTTAAATTGTTATTATTATATTCTTCTTCCAATGCACACACACTACCATATTACTTTTAATTTCTTCTACTTTTCTGAAAGGAACTCAATCCTGGTTAAAAAGTACTGCTGTCATTTGATAAGGATAAGTGACAAAATGTTGTCTTCTTCAGTAAGTAATGATTACTGTTCCATAAACTTAATGGATTCCTGTACGTGATTTGCATTTCTGATATGACTAGGATTACTGATACTATTTCAAGTACTTTGCATTGGTTATCAGTCATTTTGTTTCTGCATGTGTATATGATAACATTCTCTGGTGATGGTGATTGTGTTTCTAAATAGGAAAATGCTTTGTGCTGTGTTATTGGGTTTGTTCTTGAATAGTTTTAGAATCATGTTAGCTTGATCTTAATTATCTTGAGCATATCTGAAATAATTTGAATTGTCATATCCAATGAGCTAAGCTATAGCTACATACTTTTAGGAAGCATAATGCCCTTAAATTGTGTAGCTGTAGCTCAATACACTCAAGTTCTGGGTTGTAGGCTGCCTTATATTTCAGATGAGCAGATATGAATGAGATATGAACATCCAGATGGTGTCCATTGTTTTATTGAGTTCATTTCATGATCTCTAGCAAATATTATCTGAAACAATGTGATTTTCATGCTGTCATGTATTTTGCTGTAAGAAAAGCACTTGTAAAAAAATATGTGGAAAATGTGGCAAACATATTGCCTATTACTGCATAAATTGCAAGTATGAATCATTTGTAAAATTACATCTGTTTTAATTTTATATAGTCAAAATTCATAGCAAACTTTCATTTCTTTTGTGAAATCTCAATCCTTCTTTACTATTCTACATAATAATGTTGGAAAAAAATGATTAATTCAACTGAAAATGAATATATATGCTATTTAGAAAATACATTAACATTTTAAAGAATTTTAACTATTGGCGTAAAAATTACGGTAATGGTTGTTTTTAAGTATTGAAACATTTGGTTATTTTAATGTTAAGTATATATTTATATGAAATTTTAGGGAAAATATTCATTACAAAATAATTTATACGCTTTTTTACTTCCCTGTACGAAGTAAAGAAAGTATTATATTCACAAAACATTCCGGTACCATATTTCATCGAAAATATTCATTTTGACCGCTATCAAATGCAATTTAGCAATGTTTTTGCTTGACATCTGTATGTAAGGACACGATATAGGACTCTTTTTCCTCAAACGAATTATAAAACTGATTTAAATGGAATCAGAAGAGATTTTTTTTGTGATGTCTATCTGTGCATATGTTTGTATCTCGCATAACTCAAAAACAAGTTGCCTCAGAAGATTGAAATTTTGTATATAGGACTGCTATTACATGTAGTTGTGCAGTTCCCTTTTTGGTTGCAATCGGCTGCACCAAAAGTATATAAGTATATATATATATATTTGTATACCCACTCTGTTACTGGGCTAAGTGAGCTCATTTTTTTTATTCTTATATGTTGGTAAATTGTGCATTTTTTGCTTTAAAAATCATTGAATCATGTTGTTCTTATGTTCCAGTTAAGGTTTTATGCCTTTATTTAATTTGCATGTTATAATTGTAGAATTGCCAACAATTTGAAAGTTGTTTAAGTTTGGCTAAGCCTAATTTATTTACTGTAGCAACCATATTTGCTTACACTTGAAACTTAGCAAAATAATGGATGTGTTGCCAATCTAGAGAAACTGTGCTTTGCAACAACAAATTAACGTCTTCTTTTATTATTGCGAATCAAATCATGCTTAATCCATTCTGGAATTATTATTTAAGTTATTAAATTATCGCATATATGGACTCAGCATAGCATCCACAACAAATAAAGTCAGTTTCTATGTTTTCAGTGTCTTACTGCCAAGCAAGACTAAAAGTAAACTTTCAGCTTTGTGCATGAAAAATCTGCCTTCTTGAGTGCTGGTTGAATTACTTGTTTCCGCATAAAAACTGTGATTTTAATTGTAAAACTTGTTTTAATTGTTTTTACTGTATTTGGTGTTTTATATTTTCTTATATCTTTCAATTTTTAATATAGATATTATGAGTTTTTATGTATTTTTGCCTTGTCTCGAAGTGAGAACTAAATCTGAAATATGCTGTAACATCTGACAGTATAAATTTGAACCATTTTGTTAAATCATACATTTAAAAACAATGGAATTTATCCGTCTGATTTATTTGCATCAGAAGGCAAAAGAAGGAAAACTGATAAATATGAAAAGATCAGCATAAGAAATATGGTTCTCGATTTATCTTCTACCTTCCAAATATTAATAAATTTTGCAGACACTTTTCCAAATGGTGATAAATTTATATCTTTTTAATCATGCTAATGTATTTTCATAATCACAAAACCTCATTTTAAAAGATTTTATAATCTGCAGCACATTATTGAAATATTTGCATAGCTACTTGGAAATATTTTATTGTTATAAAAATATGTATATTAATTATCCTGGGAGGTAATGAAACCAGATTATTGTATTTAAATGTTAACAAATATTTTCTGTTTCATAGAATTCTCCTAAAACAGTGAGAATGGAAAAAAGAACACCCTCACAAAAATTTTCACCTCGTAATTGGCAAAAAACATTTACTTCTAAAACATTGCAAGATGCGACTACCATTGAAATGAAGGTATTTGTTTTTAACCCTATATTTTTAACACAGAAAATTGTTTAAAAAATCTCATAATGAAAACATGCTCATAAAGCTCAAATATAAAAGTGGAATTTTATTTATTAATATTATCTTAGAAAGTAATTTATTCATGTCTTTTTTTTTTTTTCCCCCAATTGGGAGCGACAGACTTAATTTTTTTATTTCTAATGCTGGACTTCCTAATATTAAGTATTTTGTCATGAGATAAATAAACTAATAATACAAAGCTTAAAATATTTTGATATATTCTGTAGATTTAATGAAACAGCTTTTAAAATATTTTATCGGTAAACTACGGATAAAACTGCCACCTGAAAATTTCAAATTACTGTCTAACACTTCAAAGATTTTATCAACAATGTCCCCCCCCAAAAAAAACAATAGAAATATTTAAAAAATATAAAAATAATTAACAACCCTTTTTTCTTTAACACATAAATAATGCCACTTAAGCAGGCAAAAGAATGAGTAAGGATTACAATACAACAATTGGCTGCTGCTTTGACCGGGCAGAGGAAATGCGACTTGGTTTGGACTGAGTCAGTGGCGGACTAAGGCTAAAGCGGGCCCTAGGCAACATAGTAACTCCGGGCCTATTTTTCAGTCATGCCACATATATTGCATTTGCTTTTAAAGCATCTGGTATGTAGTTATATTTAATTATCAGATTCCAAGAAAAAAAGGGGAAAAATAATATACATGTACAAAAATTAAATAAACATAATTTATTAAAACAAACATAAACATAATTTATCAAAACAAGCAGTAATACCCAGATTGATTAGTTATGTTGCCTTTTTCTCACTTTAAATTCTGCAAACTCGTCAATTAGTTGTCAGAATTAATAGAGTTATTTAATAACTCTTTTTCTATATAAAGTAATGATAAACTATTTAATTTTTGTTCGCCTAATGAGGATCTTAATTTTTTTTTTATTCTAGCCGTTACTGAGAGTGATCTTTCTCTGCTTGCATTGCTTATTTGAAAGTATTAAATAAATTCTCAGAAATTATGTCTAAATTAGGGAATGTTTCAATAATATTATTTTCCTGAACCTGACCACATGGATACAGGCGAAATAATATATATATATTTTTTTTACTTTTATAAGTCTTAAATTGTAATACTTCATTTTTCAGTTCTGCTAGGTTTAAATCTTGTTCATAGCATTTTAATTCCTCTATTGAAGAGTCACTAACATCACTATCATTAAGAATTCTTTTGAATTTATTGTTAATAGTTTTATATCCCTCAAATCGTTTTTTTTTTAATGTTGCTAATTAAAGAATCACATACAACAACAACAAAAATATTAACTTTAAAATGTTCTTTGCCACTGAATCTTATTTTATGTTCTGGAATTTCATCATGAAATAGTTTTCGTATTTTCTGCCGTTTTTTATCATTAGTATATACAATATCTTTAACTTTTTCTGCTTCTTTTTGTAAATTGTCAAAATCATCTCTAACAGTTTGTATGAAATCTATCAAAGAATCATATATTAAAACTGCTGTATTTAGGGATTCGTCTTTTTGTTGAAGAGTCTTGTTTGAAGCATCTCTTCTCTCTAATATCTTTTCCCATATAGTAAGTAACAGTACGTATTCAAATGTATGAAGTTTTTTATATAAATCGGCAGCTTCGGACCTTGTTAATGGTTTTTCATCTTTGTTTGAGGAAAAAGGATGTAAACAATGTTTAATTTCTTCATAAATATATATGTGAATTTCTTCATAAATATATACATACCTACGTGAGATATATCTTTAAGGATTTCACAGCATCGGAATGAGCAGACCACCTGGTGTCACAAATAGGTTTAATACAAGTGTTTGCTCTTACAAAATTTTTGTAATGCATTCCACCTATGTGTAGAACTTGAAAAAAATACGTACAATCCTGAACGTATTGAAAAAAGTGGTCATTTCCATGCAACTTTCGGCAGCAGTGTTTCCAATTAAATTTAATGAATGATTTGTGCATGGTATAAAATGGGCAGAAAAAATATATTGTTTTATTCTGGATTGAAGTCCCTTATATGTATATACCTGACATATTAAACACATTATCATAACTCTGTCTCCCTGCATATTTTACAGAATTGAATGGAGAGGGAGGAGCAGGGATAAAACCACCTGTTTTGGAATTTTTGCACAGTCTGTGCATTTTGCTTGTGTTAGAAAGTTTATTTTTCAGTAGACGTAAATGTACTTTGCTTCATTTGGATAGTTTTGTTGTTCTGACCTTTTTATCATGCCCTTGGTAGAAAATACCTAATGAATTAAAAGATGCTGAAAGTTTTTTTAAAGTCTTTTTGATGATAATTCTGCTTCAGAAACTGAACCTGATGAAGAATTTCATTCCGAAACTACATCCAGTTTATCTGACAAGGACTGGATTGTTTCTACTGAAACAAGTGAATCCGATTCGTCTGATGGAGAACCTGTTCATGAAACAGAAAAGGAAAGTAAAAATTTAGATCACGATTCTCAAGACTGCAAACTGATTCCATTTGCCTTTTTTCAGATATCTGGAGTGCTTTTATAGAAAACTGCTCAAAATGTTATAAACGGGACAAAAATATAACAGTGTATGAACAATTATTTCCCACAAAGATCAAATCCCGATTTATTCAGTATATGCCTAGAAAGCCGGACAAATTCAGCATGAAATTTTGCTACTGATGTGCAGTCAAAATATTTATTGAATGAATTTCCCTATTTGGGAAAAGACAAAACAAGACCAGCTGGAGAAAACAGTAGGTGAACATGCAGCTTGATGGAACCGCTGAAATTAGTAAAAGAAATTCAAGCTGCATTAGCAAAATAAATCATTCAAAAAGACCTTATTCTTTCAAAAAATATGACAGATGAGCTCTGTTCTTGTAAGATTGCTAAGCATAACAATATAATGCTTATGTCTTATCAAGGGAAGATGGAAAAAATAAGAGCATCCTGCTCCTGAGTGCCATGCACCCAACATTGGAAATCACATCTGATGAAAAAAGTACACTCGAAGTTGTGAATTTTTATAATTAGAAAAATATGGAGTTAATGTTTTGAACCTGATGGCCAGAAAATACTTAGTGAAGTCTTCATCCAGCCGTTGGCCAGTTCAAGTTGGGGTTTTTTATTATTTTTTTAATATTCTTGATTTGGCTGTGATAAATGCATGGATAATTTACAAGAAAACAACTGCATATAAAAATATCAGCTGTCATGATTTTATTTTGAATATGGCTGAAGAGCTTCGAAAGATGTACATTTCATCCAAAATTCACAAATTTTCTGTATCTAACGAAAAGAGAATCGGTATTGCGTCAACTCTTCCCATAACCGTAAACAATGCAAAATAAATGTATGCAGAGGCAACAATACTTTGAATACATATGAATACTGTAAAAAATATGTTTGTGAAACCTGTATAGGTAAAATTAAAAATTAGTAATCTCTATGCACTGCAAAACCGAGTAATGTTAAGTACTAATATGTGTAATTTTTAATGTATTTATTTTAATACTGAAAATTTTTAGAATTCAATTTATTTAATGATAAGAAGTTTAAAAATATCTAAAATGTTTTTTTTTTCTCTTTTAGCATTTTGTTATATTAAATTATCCTTCGATTAATATATTTACTCACTTTGCTTTATTTTGCTCTTTCTTACATTAAATTATCTTTTGGTTGCATGTATTAATTCAATTTACTTTATTTACTTATTAAACAAGCAAAATGTATTGTTATAAGCATTAACTTTATGTAATTTTATCAAAAAGCAAGCCTTTTTTTCTATTCTGCTGATTGTAGTTATAGGTTTTTGAAAAATGCTGTAATGCTAGTGTTAAAATGTTCTTCACAAATATTTCTCCTTTATTCTTTACCACTTCATTACTGTCTCCCAGGAAGGATGCTAATTCAAAAAACTTCTTAATTGTATTATCGAGATTTGATTCCTTTATCAAACAGCAGTAGGATTGTTTATTAAGAGTAGGTAGAACGCCTGTCATTAAATAGCAATGTTATGTTTCCATTAAGCACTTGAACTCTACCTTCTTTCAAGATGTTAAAGAATAATTCACTCGCTATCAAGATATTGATTTTACCAGGTGTGTAGAATTTAGGATCTGCTAATTTAATGTCATGTGGTATTGCTAGATTAAAAATATCCTGTTTAGATGATGAACTTATGTCTGTTATTTTTGGAATAATACATAGTTCTAAATCGTGACAAAAGATCTGTGTTTCCTTCGAAATGTGGGCAGAAATCTTATCTTTGATAGAATGAGCTCATCAACTTATTCCTGAAATGCATATTTGCAGACTAGAGTCCAGCAGGACTGCTATTCTGCAGAATTGCTGAACACATTCGACACATAAATAACAAACGTATTCAGTAAGGCAGTGTTTCCCACCTGGTATCACTAGATTAGAAATATCCAATTTGGATGAAGGAATTATATCTGTTATTTTTGGAATAATACATAATTCTGAATTATGAGGAAAGGTCTCTGTTTTGTTTGAAGTATGGGGAGAAATCATCGCCTTGATATAATGAGCTAATTCATTTTTTCCTGAAATGTATGTATGTTCAGATGGGTTTAGTTTACAAGTCCAAAATTCTGCACATTCTTTGGTTGCAAGATTCATCTGCGAACCAGAGTCCAGTAGGTGTGTTATTCTACAGCACTGCCCGAACACATTTGTCACATAAACAACCACTGTATTGAGTAAGACAGCTTTTCCTGCCCTGGAAATGCCTGTAAGTCTATGTATATTGTCACCCGAAGCTTCTTTGGAGGGGTTTGTTTTTTCCTTGGGTGATGGAAGGTAAGGAGTATCCACTGGAGAGTGAAGGTCATTGTCCCTATGGAGAAGGAAATGATGTTTTTGGAAGCAGCGGCTGCACAAAAAGTTTGAATTGCATTCTTATTCTCAACATTCATATTTTTTAATGCATTACATTTAAAACGAATGTG